AGACACATGCACACTCACACACACAAAGACGCACAGAGACATACACACAGACACACAGAGAGAGACATACACAGACACACACCGAGAGACAAATGCACACTCACACACAGAGATACACACACACGCACACACAGATACACACAGACACATGCTCACGTACACACACAGATGTACACAGACACACACACAAATATATACAGATACACACAGACACATGCTCACATACACACACAGATACACACAGACATACACACAGATACAGACACATGCTCACGTATACACACAGATGCACAGACACACACACACAAATATATGCAGAGTCACACAGACTCACACAGAGAGATATACATACATACAGAGAAAGAGATACACACGACACATATACAGATACACACAGAGCTACCTAAAATTCAAGGCACCTCTGAATTTCTCTTGTTTCATCTCCCAACACAGGGGAAAATATTTCTGTGGAGTTCCCAGATCTGACAAAAAGAAACAGGATTTCCTTCATCCTTTTTCTAAAAGTTTCATTAACCAGACAAGACTACACTCCAACAAGGAGGAGAGGATGTCCGTCAACACACCTGGACAGAATCTCGTCACACTCCACTGCCTTCTATTTTGGTCCTGTTTGATATTCCAGAAAGAATAACTTAAAAACTCTTTCCTGTTCTAAAGCCAGACAGGCTTTTGTTCCACATCATTGTATTCTTTCCAAGCCAATGATGACATCTCCCTAAAATTAATTTGCTATCTCCTTAAAAAATGCCTTCATCCCCCCTACATCTTGTACAAAGAGGTATTTAACCTGAGCTATTTGACTTCTTTGAAAGCTCAGACTGCAAGGGTCCTGTGCTCTTGCACATGGGGGCATATTTGTGTCTTTTCTCCTGCTTTATCTGTTGTCATCCCTGAGAGCCTTTGTGAGATGAAAAGGAAGATTTTCTGTTGGCCCTCAAGGTTCAAAACCTTATTTTTTGAGGGCCGCTCCCTCTATGTACGTGTCTGCCACGTGTGCAACCTTTTGAACTACAGCAATAAAGTCACCTGGGTAGAGTTAACGAGAAAAGACACTAGAAGGTGAAGCTGAGAGATTGGTTAGCAAATTTGTAAAACAATTCTATCATTGCTTTCCCCGACTTACCTCACACAGAACAATAGGCCAGGCATTGCGTAGCCCCACCTAGGCACACATCTCTAATGTTAAGTTTATCTTCTCTGTGACCCAAATCTGATGGGGGTGGGGGGACATCTGGTACCAGTTGCTTGGGGAGAGTGTACGAGTGTAGGAATGTTTGGGAAAGTGGATAGGGATTAGACATTAGGAAGTACACTCACTGGGCTGGGCCACAAGAGAAGCACTCAAACACATGGAGACAGAATGACGGCCAGCACCAGGGATCAAGAATTTGCTTCTTGATTCAGCAGCTTCATGCTTTTCTCCCTGGCAGTTTTCTTCAGGATGGAAGGTGGTTTTTTTTTTGTTTTTTTTTTTTGTTTTGTTTTTGTTTTTTTTTGCTTTGTTGATGATTATGTTTCTTTGTTTCATTTTGTTTTTCTTTGTTTGTTTTGTTTTTTTCCAAATGAAGAACGCGAACTTCATTTCCAGTTGCCAGGTCCAGAGAACCTGTGATCTGCTTCAACTTGTGAGGCTGGGGTAGGGGATTAAAGAATAAAGAAAGACGGGGCTGGGAACAAGACGAGTAGTGTGAAGGTCAGGGAGCAAAGTGGGTCATGGAGGAGAGTGGCAACCTGTATCTCAGCTCTCCTCTCTCAAGTTCTGGTTGTTTGCCAGGCGCAGGGCCAAGAATTCTATGCGCATTTTTTATATTATTTAATCCTCAAAACGCCGAAAGAAGCCTCCTTTTTTAAAATCTCCATTTCACAGATGAGCAAACAGCTGTACCGACTCTCCAAAGCCACGTGAACAGCATCTCAGCCCTGGGGATTGTGTTCACTCCTCTCCAACCCAAGCTCTCCCCAGGGCCTTCTACTGCAGGACTGCCTGCTTCCCTTGAGAGAGAATCAAGAAAACCCACTGACGGAAATGACATTAAGATAAAAAGGTTAAGTTCTATATGGGGTGACCAGAAGAGTTTTTGAGAAACTAGTAGCAATGGCCAGTGGTCAAGGAGTGAGAGAAGGGAAAACAGAACTGAGTCAGAAGCATGTATGGAGAGGTGCAGGGATCCCATAACATCTGGCTTTCACGGAAGAGTCTGACCCCTGTTAAGCAAAGTCCAGTTTGTATAGTTAGAGTGGCCCTTCAGAATCTGCCCATTAAAGGAGGTATCATGAACACATGTTCACAATTATCCAAGATTACTAACAAAGTGTCCTCTCAGGAAAGACTTGAATCAGAAAACAACACTTTTAGGCCCTGCAGAAACCAATTTGCAATTGTCCCATGATGACTTCATGGAAGGTTATAATTATTCCCATTTGTGCTTTGTACATCCATAGATGGCTAAAATTCTCGTGAATTTGTTTTTGTTGTTCAAGACTTTGGACTCATACTTTCAAACAAAATCAGGCACTCTAGCCCCATGTTTGGACCAGGCATTTTCTTCTAGTCATTAATGGAAGCAGTTTCTCAGATTAACTAAGTCTTGTGGTTTGCATACAACTAAAGTATAGGTATTGAATCTTTTGTTGGCAATTTTGAGACTTATACAGAAGTATATGTATATGTGTGTGTGTATGTGTGTGTGTACAACTATGTATATATATTTTATTTAGCTTCATTTATATCTTTGAGATTTATTCCTGGAACTTTAACTTTTGAAACGAATTGCCAAGTTGTTTAATGTTCAATCATCCATCCAAACCAGCTACATTTCAGAGATGGATTCAGCAAAAACTGCAAATACTAAGACTTGTAGTTTTCAAACCTTAAATAATATCTGTGTCAGAAGCGTTAGGTATTTCAGGATTAATTCCATCCATTCTTTTCTGCTGACCTGTTAGCCTCAGGCCCAGGGCTCTGCTCTATGATGAACAGCAAAGGACAGGAAGCTACAAGTACCGTGTTCAGATGTGATTGGATCAGGGCATAAGGTAACATTTACTCCAGGTATTAATGGTCACAATCCACAAAAGAAAAAAAAACATAAAAAATTGCCCTACTTTATCTCCTCTTAGGTATTATATACATACAAAAATGACTGGTAAAAGAAACCAGTTTCTAATAGCAGCTTCCAGAGGTCATAGAGATAAAATTGTCACCATGATCTGCCTACTGTGGGGGCAAGGCCAACCTCAAAGAGACTTGTACTTTAGTCTACGTATCATGATGGAAAAAATATGAGCCACCCACATCCCCAGCAGATTTCTTCCACTGACAGAAGCAGCAATAATAATCAAATTTCTCAGTGACTCAGAGTAAAACAAAGAAGAAAACAATACCTCCATTGTGATACATCTTACACTTGCCCTGGGATTGAGGTCTTTGATCAGAAGATTATAGATCTATATCTATATCTATATAGAACTATATCCAACTTAGGGTTTCTCTGGTATTATAATTATAGTAGAGCTAAATGAGCTATAATTGAGATATGATTACTATACTTTTTTGGAATTGCTTGAGAGAATCCAAGTGCAAAATTAGGTTATCAATAATTTCCAACAAGTTTTAGATCTGGTCTCCTGAATATATTTGTCTATAGAAATATTTGATCCAGTCTAAGAAACTACAATCATGGCCCATGATCAAGACTGTGTACCAGCTTTAAACCAACATTGCACATTCAACTGCTGAAAATAAAATATGATATATTGCAAAACTTCTTTATTCATAATATATATAAGGATGATACTCAAGTTTTCAGTGGCTTATGATACTCAAGCTGAAAAGGAAAATTCTTGAAGGCAGTGATATCTCTCCAGGATAGGTTTACTATTCCTAATGTCTTAAATAAGAGGGCATTGTAATAACTGATGTGGTTAAGGTAACATCCAAAGCACTCTGGAATATAAATCTTGAGCTAGATGTGAAACTTGAAAGATGGGGGAATTCTTCTGGTCCCTTATTTGTTTGAGAGAAATTCCTGGGGATAAAGAGAAAAGAGGAACACATAAAAAGATGCCTCAATCTCAGAGCCGTGTCCTAGAGTAGAACTCAACACATACTTTTGCTAGTTAGCACCCCCCAACACATGTCACTCCTCTCTTTCTAATTTAAGATCATTTAGAAAAGTCAGATTTACTCAAAATTAAAAGCAACATAACCTATGCGTCTTTTCACTCATTAACTCAAGTCTATAGTGGTTTTAGGGTTAAGACTATAAGCTAAAACAGTGAAAGTCTTATGATAGAAGCTATAGAAATAATGTAGCTTTATAATAGAGTGAGAGAATACACTATTGAAAAGAAATAGGAGAATCTCTGCATGTAGAAGGGTGTAGACTAGGAAAAGGGAGTGAGGAGGCACTGGATCAACTTATTACCCCTGTCTCTCACAAATTACTTGAATAAACTCAATCCTTCAGTTTTAGGTCTCCTTCCTTCAAAAAGAAAGTATATAACTCAGTTTACTTTCCTTTTACTGTTTGTCAAATCTCTGAGAACATGGAGTGGATGTGTCACCGTAGGGCAAAAGGGCCAGCCAAAGAAATCCACCCTGGCCCTGAACCCAACGCCAGTGAAGGAAATCCAACCTGACCCTGAGCCCAGAGTCAGTGAAAGAAACATACCCTGACCCCGAGCCCAGAACCAGTGAAAGAAACACACCATGACCCTGAACCCAGTGAAAGAAACACAACCTGGCCCTGAACACAAAGTCAGTAAAAAAAAAAAAAAAATCCACCCTGGTCCTGAACCCCAGAGCCAGTGAAAGAAACACACCCTGGCCCTGAAACTAGAACCAAAGGACTAAAACAGATCACTGAAAGAAACACATGCTGACCCTGAAACCAGAGTCAAATCTGCCCCTGACCCACTAAACATGAAACGAACCAATCCCCAAGCAGGAAATCAATCAATCTCTGAGCACAAAATTGAGCCAACCGAGCTTCTTCAAGCTCAAGAGGAACAAAATCAGACCACTACTTCCTGTAGCAGGAATAATAAAAGAGCAGAGATAATACTGAGGTTCAAATGAAGATCAGAGAAGCAAAGCAGCCAAGCTACTAGAGAGCTCCTACCTCCATGAAATCTTCAGACTGAAAGAAAGCGAGTTCCTGTTTCATCCTACCTTATATCCTTTCTAGTGCTGAGCTTAAAGACATGCACCACTACTGCCTGACCTCTATGGTTAAGTAGTGTGGCTGCTGGGATGAAAGATTTGTACAACCACTGCCTGGCCTGTACGGCTGACTAGCAGGCTGCTTTTCACTGACCCTCAGGCAAGTTTTCTTTATTAAAATACAAATGAAATATCACTACAAATTCTCTCCCTGAAAATCTTCTCCCTGGAAAAAACTCTGCCCCTAAGAAGCCCCATAAAAGCCCCTCTGCCTGTCCTGTTGCACCTGTCTTCCTCCACCCTGGCAGAGGCAGTCACTCTCCTGGATTCCTTTTGCACAAATAAATCTCTTGAAAGAGTTTTGGGTGAAGATCTTCATTCACTGGCGTGGAGCAGAATCTCTGCTGGGAAGCTCCCTTAGGGGAACAGAGCAGAGGAGAAATGCTGAGAAACTCCTTTTGGAAGAAAGGCAAAGCAGAGTTCAGCTGTAATGGCTCTCTCTCTTTCGAAGAGAAACAAGATTGTCAAAACAAAACCTAAGGGGAGATCATCCCCCACCAGACCCCAACTTTACATATAGCCTGGCTTCCTGACAATACACCTTTCTTCTCATTACTTTTCCCTTCATAGCTGTAGACACAGCCTGACTTCCCAACAAGTCAGGATACCATTTCCTCCAGAGCTGTAATACTTGGAGTCACTGTATCCTTAACAATTAGAACAATGTCTGGCCCAGGATAGGTCATAATAAAAAGTAATGTAGTGAAGTGATACTTTGTTTATGTTTAAAAAATAAAGCTTGCCTGAAGACCAGAGTGCAAAGCTAAGCCACTGGAGGCCAGGGAGTGGTGGCAGACATGTTTAATCCCAGGACTTGGGAGACAAAAGCAGAGGGATCTCAGTTTGTTCAAGGCCACACTGGACTACCCAAAATTGAATTCGTCTAAAAGAGAAACAGAGCTCACACAAAGGTGATCCCAGCACTTGGGATCCCATGCCTTTGACCGCAGCTCTAGGGAGGTGGAGACAGGAGTGATATGGCTGGGCAGAGAGAGGAATATAAGGCAGAAGACAGGACCTCAGCGTAGTCTGAGGTTTGGTGAAGACAACTGCAGTCGGAGATTTAGTGGAAAAGGTGGAATCTGAAGATGCAATCTGAGGACAGAATCATCTCTTCGGCCTGAGCATTGGCAGAGGGAAAAGAAATCTCTAGTGACTGACCACTCAGCTTCTCTAATCTTCAGGCAAGCTTTATTTGTTAAAACATAAACAAAACATCACTACAGTTTAATAAACAAACAAATTAAGTTTTCAGTCAAAAAGCTATCATCAGAAATAATAAGAAAAAAGTTCCCTAACTCGGTAGACATTAAACGGTACCACATTTCTGTGTTTATGTGTTTTATTTTCATGGTGTCTTAGGGCCTATTGTCTGACCGTTAGCCATCATGTAGGTTACCATTAGTGGAAGAGAACAAAAAATTATACATTTGATAAAATATTTATGGCAGATCCAAGATGATAAAGACCCAGGAGACGTCCACTTGTTTGATTGATATATGGATTATCTCTGGTCTCTTTTCGCTTTAAAAATATCGTAGAAAATAAAACTCAGCTTAAGGAGGCTTGAGATGTAGCTCAGTTGACAGAGTGCTTGCTTAGCTTATGCAAAGCCCGGGGATAGGAAGTAGCAGCAGGAAGGGCAATCAGAAGTTCAAGGCCATCCTTGCCTACAGGGCACTTTTAAGGTCAGCCTGGGCTATATGAGATGTTATCTCAAAATCAAAAAATTCCAAATAAGCATATTATATACATGTGTATGTAGAGATCCAAAATGTACTCACAGCAACATTCTTTCCCATTATCATGAGCTGCCTATATAAATAAATGTCTTAAAAACAAAACCATGGCTCAACAAGGCACTGAATAAGATGAGCTATGAGAACAAAAGAAAAAATAATTTAAAAGTTATTAAGAAAATAATGATATTGACTCACATTTGAAGAACTTGATCTGTCTGATGAAAATTGAATACATCAATAAAAATCAGGAACATCTGTCTGATTGCCTCCAGGGTCTCAATTGCCTGTCTTCTTTGTCTCAATTCTCACTTTCCCTTAGGTAAGATAGGCACCTGGTGGCTTGCATTGCCACTGATGGTACTCCCAGGGGTTCAAAGCTCTTCAAAAGTTCTGGGACTTTGAAACCTCAGTGTTAAAGCTAACATTCACCTTAACAGAACTCATCATATTGCTACTTTGTACTGATTAACACTGAGAACTCAGGGATTGCACATTGTTGTTCATAAGTATCACCTTGAGGTAGCTACAATAATGAGATAAGCAGTTCTTGGGCTGGCGAAACTTGGCTTTGAAAGTGAACATTGACTAGCATTTAGCAATTCATCTGCAATGGAAGAGATTGGAGGATCCCACTTTCCCTTTGAAATGAGTAGAAATGAGCTCCCCCACCCACAACTGCTCCCAGAACAGGTTTAGGCTTTCTACAAACCTCAAACACACTTTTCCAAGTGTTTGTCTTAGGGAACGGACTTTACCTCTGAAGATCCTTGGCTATGTTTGGGGAAGAAGCTAAAACAATCAAGACAGTCTCCCTGCTCATCACTGTGTTGGCAGAAAATAAGTAGCAAATAGATATGCTGAAACCCGTTGTGCACGGAATAAAAGAAGACAAGGCAGAACTCTTCTGGTAGTGTTCAGGTCTGTCTACATGGGCTATGGATTTAATATCAGTGCATGAGTCTTGTCAACATATTGTTTCCCTACTCAAATCCATACCGTTATATTTTCCTATTTCTTTATATCTTAACTAGATGACCCATTATTTTAAAACAATACTCTTCTGTCTTATCGTATGACAAGTCCATGGAAGGTTTCTGTTTTCATGGACCACCAAGCTTCATTTCAATTTTTACATACTGATGGGAAGAACTTGTAGGATTTTCAAGAGGAGGAAGTACTAACCCTGAGAATGGTGTTTTCTTACCTGGTCCTAGAGATTCCTGATGACTGTCTCATGTTGACCATGAACTAGGAGCCCTGAGACATGAGACATGTAATTTTGGATTGTATGTAACTTTAGATATATGTTTTATTTTTTAATGAAATAGAAAATGATAGCAAAGTTATGGTCACAATGATGGCTTTGTGCCTCTGCCATGCACCTCTGATGACTCTATATCCTCCATTGATACATGGATTGTTTCAGCCTCTCCAATGAGTGCATGGGATTCTCTTTTAACATCATTCATTGGAGAAGATGAAAACACAGATTTCAAAATGGTTAAATGACTGACCCAAAGTCACCCAGCAAACAGATGGTAGGTCTAACTTGGAAGAAGAAGTTATTTTAGAGATCATCAAACTCAAGGATTAACATATGTTTTCTTTAAATCGGAAGTTTGTAACAACTTCTGATTTTGTGTTGGGTACAGATATGGTCTGTAATCCAGTTACTAGGGTGGTTAAGAAGTGATCACCTAAACACATATGTTCTGGTACTGTAGCCAGACATGATTCATTTCAACAAAAGTTTGATTAATTAATCATGCCTTGTGTTGGAACATTTTAATTCTGCTCTTGTAAGAAAGGGGAGTCATAAACAATATATAATCACATGAGAATAGCACAGCAGGACAGTAATGCAATATTAAACCAGTGGTAGTGGATTGGGTTTAATACAAAGACTCTAGTTTGTTGGACTCTCATGGAGTCCACATCATTCACTTACACATGAGAACACTGATGCCCAGAAGAGCAAGGAACTTAGACAGATGTACAGTATCAGAGAGAAGCAGACTCTCACAGGTCTCTGTTGTTGACAGAAGTTTCTGTCTCACCTGGTCCCACAGCCATTCATTCGCAAAGAAACACACAGAGGTCTACATTAGTTTTAAACTGATTGGTCCATTACCTCAGACTTCTTATTAACTCTTACATCTTAAATTAACCCATAATTCTTGTCTGTGTTAGCCACGTGGCTTCGTACCTCTCATCAGTGAGTCATTTTCATCTTGCTTCCTCTGTGTCTGGGTGACAGACAACTGCAGACTGAGCCTTTTCTCTTCCCAGAATTCTCCTGTTTTGGTTGCTACACCTATACTTTCTGCCTGGCTACTGGCCAATCAGCATTTTGTTAAACCAGTACTACTGACAAACCGTTACAGGGTACGAGACCTGTGTCCCACAGCACTCTGTCCTGGATGTTTTAATTATATCAAATTCAAGAGTCTTCAGCAATTAATGTGGCAACAAACTTCAATGTCTTACAATAAAACAAGTATAAAATCCACTTAAAGCCCTAATATTGTGTTATAGGCCTTTTCAGACAACACAAGCTAATTTTGAATTGGAACTTTCCTGCTTTATGTGGTTTGTATTGATGTGATACGCAGAGCTCTGATTCTAAGCAGAAAGATTCAGAACACATCTCATTAAGTTAAATTAGGAATTAAGGAAGGCTGCCGCTCAAATTGCCACAGACAAGATGATGAAGCTACCTGAATATTCTATTACCACCTGTGAAAAATTCAATTGTCGGGAAGCAACAGATCTGTCTCAAGATCTGTCTCTGGGAGGCAGAGACAGATCTCTGTGAGTTCAAGGTGTGGTAGCATACACCTTTAATCTCAGCACTGGGGAGGCAGAGACAGGAGGATCTCTGTGAGTTCAAAGACAGCCTGGTCTACAGTGTTATTCCAGGACAAAGATATACAAAGATCCTGTCTCAAAAAGTAAAAGTAAAAATAAAAGAAATAGAGGTTAAAATAAAGCCACATAAAGATGGAAAATGCACAGAGAATCTTCATACTGTATGCTATTATGCTCTCTTTAAATTGTTTGATTGCTGAGGAAGGAGCAACAACTGCTAAAAGACTTTTGTTTATAAATGCTGCTGAACTAACCCAAGATAGGAATTTTGAAAATACCTTGGCTTCAAAACTGAAGTCAAAAGGTATGTTACTTTGGAGAAGAGATTTTGCTTTTGTTTCCACAGAAAACGAGAGACTCTGGATTTATTCAGAGTTAAGAATAATCACCTTTGACCAAGGGAGGCCACCTGAAAAATCTCTGATAGGAACAGATGGCCCAGATGACAGAGTTCTACATCCAGAACAGATTCAAGACTGCTGCCTGAGATGATCAAGACTCACAGGATACTCCAGTCAGGACTTGATTATAACTTTAAATTTTCTTTAGGTCCCCATAAGATCATCAGCGCCCCCAACCAGCAGGAAGTAGCCTGAAATACTATGCCCACATTCCCAACAAATGGACTATGGGTATATTCCTTTGTTTAAAAAAAAAAAGAGGGAAATGATGTGGGAGAATTGTCTGTATTCTGTCAATCATATTTTAATAAAACGCTGATTGGCCAGGCAGGCAGTATAGGCGGGAAAACCAGACAGGAAGTAGAGGTGATGCAATGAGAACAGGAGAATTCTGGGAAGCAGAGAAGTTCCTCAGCCACTCCTGCGCAGACCACCAAAGAGGCAGCATGTAACTTGCCCAGCTGAGAAAAGGTACGGAGCCATGTGCTAAAATAGATAAGGATAATGGGGTAACATAAGTTATAAGAGCTAATAAGTAGCCTGACCTAATGGGCCAATCAGTTTATAATCTTATGGAGTCCTGTGTGTAATTTCTCTTTGGGATTTGCCGGCTGTTGGGGTACCGGACGGGACGGAAACCCCAACAAGCTAGCCCTCATGTTACAGAAATACAAGAGCCTTCTAGTCCTGTTCCAACTACTTCAGCTTGCAGAGTCTCGCCATGCTTCATTAGACATTGGGCACTGTTTTGAGCAGTCTGTGAACTACCTAATGGGGTCTTCGCCCTTGATGGAGCCTTAGGCCTTCTGGGGAGAAATCACTAGAAAATAATAGCAGTTACAATAAAGTCAGCACAGAAAGCCCCTGGGAAGCACTGAAGCTGGGTATTAGGTTCAAGGAATGTCTTAGGAAAATCTCTAAGTGTTGGTGAGAATAAACAAAGCAAAACAAAAAGCAAAAAACACTCAAATGCTCCAGAAAGGAAAGGCATAAACAAACCTCTGGAGTATACAAAGTAAGACTTCAAGACAGACAGTATGCCTAGAATAATCATCAAGATTCCTCTTAAGGAGCAAAACCGAAGAAGGGCCAAGAAAAGTAGTCATTGAAAGTGTTTTTAAAGATGGGGTAGGATGGCATCACTGGTTCACCATAATGCCATTTTAGAAAGACTTCTGTAGGACTGGGATGCAACTCAGTCAGTAGTAGCACATTTGCCTACAGGTTATAATCTAAGTTCAATCCCTAATAAGGGGGGGATGGAGAAAAGGATACTAATAGAGAAGTAAGAATAAGAAGAGAAACAAATGGGAAAGAGGGAGGATGCTCTGGGTATACCTTCTGGGGTTCTATTCCATCCTATAATATTTTCTCTTCTCTCTACTAAACACACTTCTGACCACTCATGCTAATCATTTAATAGGAAATCATGAAACAAATTATTATTTTAATTATAACCAACCTGAACTTATTTACAGTGTTTGACCTCTCTTTCAAGTTATCCGAATTAGTAATTGCTTAACCATTTTTGACCTGACCCATCACTCATTAAAACCAAGGCTGAAAGGCTGAATCTTTAATCCTTCTACATCTTATGTGTTGTCTAGAAGGGTTCTACATAATTGAGTAATAAATGAATCACTGGATTTTACACAATTATTCTTGTCTTTTTGTCTTCTTCATTTATAACTGACCTTAACCCAAATTACTTCATACAATTCTAAAAATACATTAGAACAAGAAAATCTGGGTAAACAGAAACAAGCACACATAGCCCAAATGGTCGTTGTCATGATGATTCAGGACAGTCATAAGAATATAGAACATGTAAAATCAGGAAGTCAAAATGAGAGGAGGTGAGTAAGCTGGAAATCAATGACAGGTAGGTGGGATCCTTAACAAGAATAAAGAGTATAGTTGGACAAATACTATTATTCTCCTAAAGGGACATAGCAGTAAAATGACCCATGGGGACATTCTGCTATACCCTTAGATCAGTGTCTCACTCAGCCAACGTTAGAGAAGAGTCATCTGCAGTAGATGAGAACGAACACAGAGACCCACAACTGGGCAATGTGTCAAGGGTGAGAAACCTTGTAACACTCAGCTTCAAATGGATGCCTCTTTCAAATTCTCTCCTCGGGGCTCAAGGGGCTATGCAGAAGAGGAGGTAGAAAGGTTATAAAATCCAGAGGGGATGGATAACACCAAGGAAACAGCATCTTCAGACACATCAAGACTGACACACAAACAAACTCGCAGAGACTGTGTCAGTCATCATTCATAGGGTCTGTATAGATCAAAACCAGACAGAGTACCAGTACTGGGCTGAAAGCAAACACAATCTCATCTCCCATCACTAACCAAGAAGGTATCTCTAATTAACAACTTCTCACAAGTGAAAAATTAGTTTCTGTAAGGGAGTACCACTGGGCATACCAATCACACTTAAGGGTACGTTCTGTGCCCAGCAGTTGATAAAAACACAAAACAAACTCAAAGATAATTTTCGAGATATTTTTATCTCATACTGCTTTGTTTGGGTACTTTACAAAAAACCTTACTGATCTTTTGCTTGTATATTATGGTTTCTGATTTTGAGTTTTTATGATTGCACGTGTGCATGTGCGCACACACATGCCCAGACAAGAGCAAATGTATGTGTTTCTCATACTTTTTGTTTCCCTTTTATTTCTGTTTGTTAGTTTATTTGTTTTACTCTTATTTGTTTGTCGTTTTAATTTGCTATAACAATGAGGGCGGGCAACCCACCTGTATTTCCTGCCTGGCCAATCAGCATTTATTTAAAACATGATTGACAGAATACAGACAATTATCCCACACCAATGCACCTGTCTAGTTTTTAAGAGAGAGAGAAAGAGAGAGAGAGAGAGAGAGAGAGAGAGAGAGAGAGAGAGAGAATGCCTGCAGTTGGAGGGATGGGCATGTGGGGAGGATGTAAGATAAGATGGGAGAGGGGAAACAACCATGGTCAGAATATATTGTATGAAAACAACATTTCAATTTAAAAAATTTAAAAAATAAGGAGTATGGGTTGGGTAGATTTTAGGCCACTTTTGTAAGGTGTCAGGCCTGCACCCTATAAAGCACGCTCCCTGACTGCTCAATGAGCAAAATGGCCAATTCCATCGCCGATTAGAGAAACAATTCACACGAAAGTGGGTGAAAGGCTGGCCATTTACCAGTGAAGGGTTAATTAAAACAATCCAGATCCCAGGGGCATGGTGGCAGCTGTTGACATTTGATCACTTGCCTGAAACAGTTTAAAATCAACGCCACACAAAGGCATTTCATCCCATGCGAACATGTGAGCTGCCCAATTCTGATGCCCTCATGACATTTCCTAGTGTAGCTCAATAGAGTAAACCGAAAGGGATGTTAGTGTAACTCAGTTCCTCAATGAGGTATAAAATTCCTATTTCCCCCCAAGTCGTTCTCTGATTTAATAGGTAACTTAAATTTCTCTTCCGTGACTCATAATAGTGCACACCCTGAGTTATTCTGAATGTAGGATGGAAAAGTAGAAACTGTAGGTTAGGGGTCTGAAAGAAAGACAGACAAGCCACAGACGGTGAGGAAAGAGGAATAGTCAGATAGAAAGTCATGCTACAGATTTCCCTGAAAATGGGAAATAGAAGAGATACCCTGAGTAAACTGGGGGTGAGGGTGGGGGAAAGGGGAAATGGGAACTTGAAGGAGCAGGTTGGGTGGGGTGGGAGCAGAAGACAGGTTGTGGAAGAGACTGAAGGGGGAAAGTAAGGAGATACCTTGCTGGTGGGCCCACTTCAAGGTTAGAAAGCTGGTGCCAAGAAAACTCCAATTCATAAGAATGACCCCAGCTAAGACTCCGAGCAGTAGTGAAGAAGGTGCCTGAACTATGCATCTACTGTAATCAGATGGGTGACTACCCTTATTGTCATCAAAGAGCCTTTATCCAGTAACTGATGGAAGCAGATGCAGAGATCCACAGCCAAGCACTGGGCCAAGCTCCAGGAGTCTTGCTGAAGAAAGGGAGGAGGGATTGTGTGACCCAGAATCATGACATGGAAACCCATGGAGACAGTTGACCCTAGCTAGTGGGAACTCACCGACTCTGAACAGACAGCTAGGAAGCGTGCATGGGATCCACCTAGGCCCGTGTGTGTGTGTGTGTGTGTGTGTGTGTGTGTGAGACAGCTGTGTAGCTTGGCCTGTTTGAGGGGTTCCTAGCAGTGGGATCAGGACCGACATGTCCTGGGACTTGATCTGGCTTTTGGGAACCCAATCCCCAAGCTGGGTTGCCTTGTTCAACCTTGACACAGACGGAGCAGAGCTTGGTCCTGCCTCAACTTGATGGACCATGCTGTGTTGACTCCTATGGCAGGCCTTCCTCTTTCTGAATGGAGATGGAGGAATGGATGGGGGATAGGAGGGAAATGGAGGGAAAGGAAATGGGAGGAAAGGAATGAGGGAAAACTGTTGTTCGTATGTAAAATGAAAAAAAATCAATAAAAAGAAGAAAAGTCATTCTATGCTATGTTAAAATGGAAGGGGGTGGGGTAATGACTAAAATTCCTCATACTGGCATTAATATGACTGCAATAGAGTTAATGTTCCTAAAGAAGAATGAGTGTCCATAAAATATCTGTGCATGGGGTTGGAGAGATGACCCAAGAGTAAAGAGCACTTGATGGTCTTGCAGATATCTCAGATTGGTTTCCAGCACCCACACAATGTCTCACAGCAATGTCTAATTCAAGTTCAAGGGATCTGATGCCCTGCTCTGATCTCTGTGGGCAACAAGCGTACATGTGATATGCTTAAACACAGGCAGGCACAACTCTCAGACACATAAAATAGAATTTTAAAATACAAAACAAACAAACAGAATAGCCACTTACCATGGTCCTAGAAGCAACAGTTAGTGAGAACTCTAACACCATATGTTCAAAACTGCCACTAGTACGTTTTTTTTCCTGCAAGCAAATGACCTTAGTTATTGTAAACCTTCTGTAGAGTTTGCAAATGGACTGGGACCCCTGGAATCTCTAAGTTCCTTCTAGAAGAGGAGGATGATTTTCTTGTGTTTAGAGTAGCGAGAACAATTACTCAGTTTTCAGTAACACTCAATGAGAGCAGAAGGTGAAAGAAGATTTGACTGCCGCAGGCGAGTCTGTGGTCCTTGAATAAACCTTTGATTCTACATCTTTCACTGTGCCAGTTAGTGGAGGTGGAGGCTGAAGGACAGTGCATGATGATGTCACAATACTGATAGTGATAAAGATTATCCTAGTCATAACAACAGCCACCTGTTGGGCTTCCTGTTGGACCCTTTGCTCCTGTCATATGTGATATTATTTTCAGAATGGTACCTCATTTAAATGGCTTCATCTTCATTGATAGAGCCAGATCCGTTTCCTGAAAATTTTTTTTCTCAAAATATGCACTTTAAAACTTGGAAGAGAATGCCACAGATCTGGTAGGAACCTGTATAGTTTAGAACAATCCCAAAGAAACTTCAGTGACATACTTGAAGTAGTGAGGGGCTCGTTCAGTTCAGAGCAGGGTGGCATTGCCGTTTGCATATTAAAAGCTGACAGCATATGTACATTGGATTTTGAAGCAAAGTAAGAAAAAAATATAAAATGTATTAAAAATTTACATAAAAATAGACCTTTAACCTCTGCAATAGAATCATGAGGATATTGAAACTTTCACATGTGACTGGCTTTTCTGGCTCAACTTGTATGTATTTCCACCAGATAATGCTTGTCTATGTGCTTCCAACTCACAGAGTAGTCCACAAACATGCACTGTTTTACCTGAACCTAACATAGGTCAGAAATAGAAAACGGAAGCCCTGTCCCTGACTGGCAGATTCAAATTAGTGTTTTAATTAACTTTCATGATTTTGATCTATTCCTCTAATGTCCGTACTGTTAGAATCTGCAGTTGTAGGTCATCTGTGTCGTGCACACATGTTATACCTTGACATACTTCTTAGAACAAACTATAATTTATATTTGCTGTATGGTTCTCATCAAATTCAGGAAAGGAATGTTTACTTAATAGATGCTTAATGGGGCGTTACTGACATAGTGTTCCATGATAACCATGTCAAAAGGATTCAAGTCTTTTTTAATTCATTGGTGCCAAGGAGACTATTTATATGTATTTATGCCCAGTAGAGAGTAAGATGGCATACTTGGCAATTTAAAAATTACTTATTATGTAGACATATAATTCCACTTTCCTTACACATGATAAATTTTATCTGTGTTCAAGAATATTGAAACAAAATAGATGGAAAATAGCCCAGTTTAATTATCATACTAAAGCCCATTTATGTACTTTACAGCTCTGTGTCTCAAAATTAAGTTTGAAGGACCGAAGGAAGAACTGACTCAAATGGTTCATTGTCATTGTCATTGACTCCTCTATGTGATAAGCCACAGAAAGCTGCATTAACAAAAAAAATAGTACGTTACTTCCCCCTGGGAGTTTTCATCTGACACTACATCCGTTCTTTCCTTTTATTAAAGTTGTCTTTAACTTTTTTGTGAAGATAGGAAGTCTGCGCACACCACTGTGCCTGTATGGAGGTCTAAGGACAAGTTATAGGAGTCGGTTCTCTCCTCCCGCCATGTGGATCCCAGGGATAGAATTCATAGCGTCAGCTTGATAGTAAGTACCCTTACCTGATGAGTCATGCTTTAACACTGTTCTCTGTTTATAAATAGAAAAAGCTCTCTAAAAATAGGCATTAATATCTGAAGCAATTTTAGATATGATTTTAATTATGTGCTTTTTTGTATTTTTTATTATTTTATTGAGCTCTACATTTTTTATCTGTTCCCCGACCTACCTCTCCCCTCCCCTTCAGTTCTCTCTCAAGGTCCCCATGCTCCCAATTTACTCAGGAGATCTTGTCTTTTTCTCTTTCCCATGTAGACTGGATCTATATATGTCTCTCTTAGGGTCTTTATTGTTGTCTATGTTCTATGGGATTGTGATTTGTGGGCTGGTTTTCTTTGCTTTATGTTTAAAAACCACTTGTGAGTGAGTACATGTGATAATGGCCAAGATCAAAAACACTGATGACAACTTATGCTGGAGAGGTTGTGGGGAAAAGAGAACACTTCTGCATTGCTGGTGGGAATGCAAACTGACACAGCCGCTTTGGATGTCAGTGTGGCAATTTCTCAGAAAATTAGAAAACAATCTTCCTCAAGACCCAGTAATACCACTTTTGGGTATATATCCAAAGAATGCTCAATCATGCCACAAGGGCATGTGTTCAACTATGTTCATAGCAGCATTGTTTGTCATAGCCAGAACCTGGAAACAACCTAGATACCCCTCGACTGAAGAATGGATAAGGAAAATGTGGTACATTTGCACAATGGAGTACTACACAGCATAAAAAAATAGCAACATCTTGAATTTTACAGAAAAATGGTTGGAGATAGAAAACATCATTTTGAGTGAGGTAACCCTGACCCAGAAAGATAATTATCACATGTACTTACTCATAAGTTATGTGCCTTTTAAAAATGAAAAATGAATTATGGAAGAGGAGAAAGTAAAGAGTTGGACATAGCCGTGGGAATTCGCCACAAGGTTCATATCTGCTGTCGATCTATAAAGAAATACTCCAAATTCATTGACAATTGAGGGCCATGAATATGTGAACAACATTTGAACAGTAAAGCATTATAGTTCTATAGTACCCCAGTGAGAAGAGATGCCATAGTAACAACCTGAAGAGATGGAGCTACAGTTAGCCACCTGAGAAAGATTCTGCTGTGGCCCTGAGCTCAAGGATGGTAAGTCCCTGTCCTGGTTGGCTTCTGCTGCTGTGATCAAACATGGACCAAAAACAACTAGGGAAAGGAAAGGACTTTTTTATCCTTTAGGTTACAGTCCATCACTGAGGGAATTCAAGACAGAAACTATGGCAAAGAGCTGCTCAAGGATTTGCTTTCAGGTTCACATTAAGTGAGTATAGAGAAGATACTGCCCACAGTGGGCTATACCATTTCATATCAATTAGCAAACAAGAAAATGCTCCACCAGCATGGCCACAAGCCAGTCTGTGTGTTCATGGGAGAGCCAAGATGAGCCATCACAGACCCTGGCCATTTGTTTAAAAGGCTGATGACAGGTGACACCATCAATTGGAATACACGTGACCTTGGAGAACCTTATTTATTTGAAAGTTTCCATTACAATGCTTCCCAAGTTGTTTTTCAAAATTAAAAGTTTTGTAATTTTTGTAGATTATGTTTTGTAATTAGTTTCCTTGTCAATTTTCTTCTAAAATGATCCACTAGAACTAACCTCAAAAATAGTTTTTATTGGGACTGGAGAGAAAGACTCACCAGTTAAGAGCACTTGTTGCTCTTGCAGAGGGACTAGGTTCAGTTCCCAGTGCTCACTTTGCAGCCCACAGAGTCACTGGCTAATCCTAGGGATCTAGCATCCTCTTCTGGCCTCTGAGACACCAGATAAACATGTGGTGTTCACATATACATATAGACAAAGCTCTCATACACACAAAATAAAATTAAGTCTTCACAAGTAGTTTTGATATATGATTCTTATTTGATCTTAAACTCCCATTAGCTTTCAGTAATGACTGTGACTCCTACACTGGTCTGCCCTCTCTGTAATATCCAATCCCTTACTCTGCAAAAAAAAAAAAAAGTCTTCAGAAGATGCTTCCTCGCCATTCCCACTGAAAGCCTGAAGTGCCAAGAAAACCAATCCTATAAGCCCCTTCTAACATGACACTTCCTCATTTCCCTTCCCAGTACAATAAAGAGAACATGAAAGGCAGTGTTGTGGACAATTTTGTATGTTCTGCAGGGTTCTACTGTCAGCATAGCATTTCACTGTAAATATTTCCAAATGAATGTAAGCCATTTCAACTCTTGGATGCTAAGAATACTATTTTATGGGTATGTATTTATACCTAGAAGAATAAGGTGAGCCAATGAGATAAATAACTTTATCCAGCAAATACATGAAAGTCAAAGACAGTACCCTAATCGCCATAAAAAAGAAAGGACCCTAGACAAAAGAGCTGCCTCCCTTTTAGACTAGCTAGTGAAGATGTTAGAGTTGGAACCTGCCACAGAGCGCCACCTGCAGGGTAGAATTCAGAGTTAACAGTGCCATGCAATATCTAAGACAGTGTTCTGCAAATTAACACCAATTTCCCTTTCACTTCTAACAAAATAAAGAATGTAAATAAGAGGAAAGACAGGGACTTAGGAAAGCTGAGTTAGGTATATTCTAGACAGAGGAAGATGGAAGACTTGCATGTTGACGATAGCTCTGGAGATTAAAGAAAGAATAGGTAAAGCTGACAGAAGCTTGGGCTGTCGTGGATGAGAACGGAAGAGGAAGCAGGATCCCAGTATTGGTCCTTCAAGGTTCTTAGCATATTGGAGACAACAATGTTTTATGCTTATAAACACCAATTGGCATTTGGTTATTAGGGGAGGCAGGAGCAGAGTTGTAGACCAGCATTATCTGTTTGAATGTTGACTGTAATTGTGGTCTTTGGTAATTGTTGCCTTAAAAAAAAAAAAAACTGTTGTTTGTTTTTAGTAATACTATGCATAATGTATTGTCTTGGCATATCAATTGGAAGAAAGCTAAAACTTTAAATACTGGCTAACAAAATGAAAGCAGTTTTATTACACACTGGAAATTGACAAAAATAAACAAATACCCACAATTTACAAAACTGGCCTTTCTTTTTGTTCCATGCATTTGTAAACTGCTTTCGACAACTCAGGAAACGCCCTGGGTGCAGAAGACCATTACTCCGTCACAATTCCCATCTTACCTTGGCAATAATAATCCACAAACTTTAGTTTTCTACCCTGCTAACACCTCCCAAATATACACACCTATAAAATCCCAGCCCAGCGTGCGTATTGCTTTCCCTACTTTTGATCTGTCGAAGCCAATTAAGCAGTTAAAGATCATTTGCACAGTCAAACTCTTTGCTAAATAAACAGCATTTCCACGGCCCATTTCTGCCAGAAACCTCAAAAAGAAAATGTCCCAAGGATATTGTCTTACATTTGTATTATGAAGATAGACAAAATCGTAAGTAAAATATCCAATTTTTTGGATGATAGCCTTGCAACTGAGTAGCTACTGCTGCCTGTTTTACTGGAGTCTT